TTATTACTATGTTATCCTTCTTTTACTCTTTAAAAAAAAAAATTATCCCTGGACACACTTATTATTTTTGTACTACATGCTATATTTTTATGTTAATGAATGGCATTTAAAAATTTTAAATTGGTATATATTTATAGTACATAATGATTATATTCATCATGTGGTATGGCTTTTATCTTTGTTTTTGCTTTTTGGGACAGGGTCTCACTATGTTTTAGACTGGCCTTGAGTTTACTATGTAGCCCAGGCTGGTCTCACTCACAGCAATCCTCCTGGCTCAATCTCTCCCATGCTGGGATTACAGGGGTGTGCCACCATGCCCAGTTGTTTGTTTTTTTTTTTTGAGACAGGGTCTCCCTATGTAGTTCAGGATAGCCTTGCAATCACTATGTAGCCCAGACTGGCCTCGAATTTGTGGGAATCATTCTGAAAGCAATAGGTTTATTTTGACTTATGAATAGTATTGGGGTTTTTTCCCCCTTATTTGGGAATAGAATCATTTTAAAAACTCATTTACTAACTTCAGATTCAATGGTTGCTAGCACTGTACATAAAAATGTAACTTGGAGGTCCGGGATGTGGTTCAGTGGTAGAGTTCTTGCCTTGCACGCACAAGGCCATCGGTTCGATCCCTAGTACCATCAAAATAAATAAATAAATTGCAACCTAAGTATATCACCTTTGTAACTTGCAACTTTGCTCTTTTTATTTATTAGCCCTCATAGCTTCTAAAGAGGTTTCCAATATGCAGTCATATAGAAAGTAAATTAAAGATCTTTCCATGCTTGATTTGCTAAAATTTGTTGATTTTTTCATAGTCTGCATTTGGGAAAAAAAGATATGTTGTTGTTGCCACATACTATGTAGTCTGTAATGAACGTGTACAGATCTTTCCCCCTCAAAATTAGGACTCACATAGCATTAATTTGTACGAAGTATTTATAAGTGATGTAGAGATGATTTCAGTACATGTGAGGATATGCATAGGCTTTATTATGCCATATATAAAGGACTTGAGCATCCTGGAACCAACTCCATGGAAATCTAGGGATGTCTGTACTAAATTATTCAGAGAAACTGTAGACCTTTGCAGACATAAGCACAGTTCTGAAACCTGTCCTTTTGGTAAGAAAATCTACATACATCTATATTAGTGAACAGCAGGGTCAGGCACATGCGTTTCTATCTGGTTATTTCCCTTTCTGCCTTGGAAACATGTTTTCACATTAAGGAGCAATTGGGATTCTGACACTTTGTCCAGACAGTGATCACCACAAGCAGCTGTTACCTGCGAGGCTTTATCTGCGTATCAAAATGCTTGTTCACTATGCACTTTCTCTCAACCATACCCTACACACTCTCCCTCCTCCCTAAAAGCCCAAGCTCCTACCTCTTTGTTTAGTTCTATATAAAATTAAAACTATGGCTCTCCGGGGTCTCAAACTGTGTATATGGCACTCCTGCTTAACAGAATGTTATTTTTCCCCAATTAATCTATTTTCAATTTATTTTATTGACTAAAATGATCGAAACTTCGAAGGGACAAGAGAAAAATTGAAAGTTCTCTACAGCTCTGTGTGTAAATGCTACCTATGGTTAGAAGAAACATAAGCACATAACAGGGGCTCTGCGCTTGGCATACAGCAGATGCATGGTAGTAACTCCTCAATGAAATGACCAGCCCTAAAATGTTTAAGATCCAGGGCAAACTGATGAGCCGAAGAGCGGGCTAGTTGCTGCCCCTCCCACTGGACGAACTAGAAGGGACCAGAGAGCTGCACTTAGGACCCCGGCAAGCCTCTTCCCAAGGCCCGCCCCTTCCGCTTTCAGGACGTTCAGTCTACGTCCAGAATTGGAATGGCCTAATCCCAAATCGGAAACTAGATAAATTGTTTTTCCGATAAAAACAAACGAGCCACTATTGCTCCCTTTGAAAATCTGGTTTCTTAGTGTACCCATTTTCTAAAATTCCCAGGCCTTGCCTTCTCCACATTTACCCCCCTCACCTCCCGGAATGGTAGCGTCCACCTAGGGTGCAAACAACCTAGGGGGTGGAGCACACCATTCAAAGAGAGGGAGGGCTTGAGGTATGTATCAAAACAAACACCCTTCCTTTGCAAAAGCAATAACCAAGTAATCCAGAAAAACAGAGTCGGGGAGGGGAGCAGTAGCCTCACTCCGAAAGCAGCAGGAACCAGCCTAAAACATTTTTTTCTTTCTACTCCCCTCTATTCGGGTGAACAGTGAGCTGCTCCGACAAAAAGAAACCGGAAACGCTACCGCGGGCAGCAGAAATGTAAATGTGGAGCCGAACAATAACAGGGCTGCCAGATCTCTCAGATCTGATGGTCTCAGGGGCAAACCTTTCATTTAGCATTTGCCACTTCTACGGCTGACATTCTTTAACTGGATTTTCTCCACGTAGCGGAGCCGGGGGCCCGCTGAAAATACCACCCCAGGAAGGACAAAGGTCCGGAAGTTGTGGAGCATTAGCAGCTTGGGCTTCCCGGGCCATCCCAATTAATTTCAGAATGGAGCCCAGGGTTTCCAGTAGGATGCCATGAACTCTAAAGTCTCGAGGCATGAGTTCCTGAAGTCTCAGACCCAAGTGCTTTGTGCATCTTATTTTAGGGCCTCCCAACAGCTAGCACCGAGTAGACAGGTGTGCTTGCGGGGGGTATCCCTTGGGCCAGCTCAGTTTCCCGAAGTCCCAACTCCCTGTACAGGTGTCTATCTTTGGGTCTGGCTGGGTCTAACATCCCCATCATCTACTTCCAACATTGGCTTCCTATACTGATCCCGCTACCTAAGCTTCTATTCCCCCCACTCACCCAAATTCGCTAAGTCCCCACTGCCCCACCCCCAAGCCCTGCGATTCTCGCAGCAAATCCTCGGAGCCCGAGAGTCCGTGACTCAGGGAGGATTCATCACCCTTACTCAAGAGCTTACCCGGTTCTCAGGGGAGCGTGTCACGGTCCTTGGAGGCACGCTCCGAGCCCGGACACCAGGTACCCCCGGAGCCCAGCAGCTACCTGCTTTCAGGATGGTGGCTCTGGACTTTTGAGCAGCTCAAAACTTTTAGCGCCAGTCTGAGCACATGGGAGGGGGAAATCCCAATCCCAGCAGCCCTCGCGAGACTACTGGCACAAAGCTGGACAGTCGCCATGGCAAGTAAGGGCAAGTAATTTGCCTGGAGGCGGAGAAGGAAAGGAAATGGAGAGTTGCGAAAGTGGGTGCGGAGAGAGGATTCTCTGGTGCTATTCTGTTAGTGGTGCTATAGCTACTAATATTTTGGGGTGGTAAGGTACTACAAGCCGGTGCTGTGAGGGCAGAATCGGTGGAAAACATTTTGGAGGAGTCTTGCTACTGTGTGAAGTATAAAGGGTGGAAGGGAGAAAACCTTTGCATTTGCCGTTCATTCTGCCTGGAACGCTGTTCTTTCAGCTCCAGTTGAATCATTTTTTCCTTATCAGCTAAAATGTCACCTTTTAGGAAGGCTTTCCTTAATATCTCAGTCTGAGACGTTCCCGTAGGTACTTTATATCACATCTTGTTTAATTTCCTTTATAATCCTTATCACCATCTGTAAAGGTTTGTCTGTTCATTGCCTTCCACGCACAGCAACAAAAACCGTATGAGGGCAGAGAATTTGTTAACTATATTGTTCATTGTTATAGTCTCCAATGCTTAGATAGGAAAAGTATAATCTTGATTGATAGTATTTATTGAGTGAATGAAGACAAGTCAGGAATTTGGCGAGGGAGATGTATTAGAAGCGCCAAACCTGTAAAAATCACGCGCCCTCTGCAGGCGAGAGGGGGCGTTAAGGATAACCGCGGGAGACTGTCCGGTGCTTTCACCCAGGTAAAGCCTTCGGACTACAACTCCTAGCAGCCACCGGGAGTCCCCAGGGTAACCTAAGCGGTTACTTCCCGGCCCACGCCTCCTGGGGTTGCGCGCGAAATCTGATCCCGGGTACCAAGGTCCAATCGGAAGGGGTTCCCAAGTCCCGCGAGAGCAAGTAGCGCGTAGCGACCCACGGAACGCGGTGCTTTCGGTTTGGTATCCGCGCTGTGGGCCTCTCTTTCCCGGGGTTTTCTGCCTCTCTCCGGTAGAAGAAGGGAGGTACTGGTTAGCGTTTTCCAGTTTTGCGTCCGGATTCCTGAGAACTTCGGAGCCTTCCCCGCCACACCGCTGGTGCCGGCAGAAGCGGGTTGCCGGCCAGGGGCGAGAGTCTGGTGCGCTTCCTCCGCACTATGAAGATGTCGGAGAAGTGGCTCTTGTCACCCGACAGGCTTCCTTCACACCAGGCCCCCGCTCCACCCGGTCCCTCTCCCCAGGACTCCCTGATGGATGAAAATACAAACCCTGAAGTGACCCCACCGTCACCCGCAGGGGATGACCCGCCCCTAGCGTCGCCAGGTCCCGTCGCTGGCCCAAGTGTGTCGCAGGAGCTGGCGGAGAGGCGCCCGTCTTCTCCCTCCGCTCCCCTGGAAGCGCAGTTGGATACTGCTAGGGACTCCAGTCCTCGAGTCGAGGAGCAAGAACTTTCAGAAAGCGCAAGCCAGCCTGCAGAAGAAACAAACGAGCCGGAGCTGGGGGCTGGCGAGGCCGCGGAAAACCTCTCTGAGGAGCCCGCTCCCGAGGGTGAGGGAGACAAGTAAGTGGGTGATCTAGAATCCGAGGAGAGTGGAAACGTGAGCGACCTTATGCGCCAGCCCCCAGCCCCACTGCGCCTGGCCCATTTTCCTTTCCCTCTGGTGACCCAGATTTGTTGTTCCTCATCTTCCTTCCAGCATTTGGAGCTACGGCTTCTCCCAGCTACCACGATTTCTTAGTGGTTCCTGGTCCGAATTCAGTGCCCAGCCTGAGAACTTCTTGAAAGGCTGTAAGTGGTAAGTAAGGACAGTGGAGCAGGGAGTTGAGCACCCTGGGGATTTTCACCTGAAAACTCTACACTTATTTGGGAGAAGGATCCGTGAGAAGTGGGTGAAGGAGTAGGAAATCCCTCTGATGACGGAGCTTAAGTTTCGTCTAGGACAGCGGTGGTGAGCCTATGGCAGGCCTGCCGCAGTGGGCTGTTTGTATCATTGAAAGCTCTAAAAGGCTCACCGTCACTGATCTAGGACTTTGTGTTTCATATCAAGGACTGTGGCCCACTTACCATTTCATATCAAGGACTGGGGCCCGCTTACCATTTAGGTGGGCTCAGCCCTCGTTGTACACTTGGAAGGCCTCACCAATTTTCTAACTCTTTGCTATATTTCTAGGGCTCCTGATGGCTCTTGCATCTTGACCAATAGTGCGGATAACATCCTGCGGATTTATAACCTGCCCCCAGAGCTGTACAATGATGGGGAGGAAGTGGAGTACACAGAAATGGTGAGGGTAGGGGTGAACTTTGCCTGTTTATTGAGGGAGAAATACAGTTCACAGGTTTCCTGTTCATAAGGGGGAATTTACACATCTAGCTTTTGCTTTTTTTTTTTTTTTTTTTTTTGAGTGAAGGTCTGGATATGTAGTCCAAGCTGGGCTGGAACTCACTATGTAGCCCAGGCTGACCTCAAATTTGTGGCAGTCCTCCTGTCTCAGCTTTACAGTTGCTAGGATTACCGGTGTGTGACACCACACCCTGCTCCACGTGTAGCATTTCTGCTTTGAATTCTGAAGTCATTTAGAGATATTCATCCCCTCTATAGTGAGGAATACATGTTTTCTGTAGAAAGATAGTGGCTTTCAGCTGAGTGTGGAGGCTGAAAAAGGAGGATCACCAGGAGTTCAAGGCCAGCAAAAATAGAAAGTGGTGGTTTTCTTGTAACAGTAGTTAATTTATATATATGTATTTATTGAATAACTAGCAATAAGTCAGTCACCGTGGTTAGTGCTAGTATATTAAAAGAGGGGAAGAGAGATAAAAAGTTGATTGTTTTTCTTGTGTGATTTGCAAACGTAAACCATTAAGTAATCAGTATCCTTACAGACACATGTGGTGGTGTATGTTAGGGGAGGCTGAGGCAGGAGGATTGAAAATTCAATGTCAGCTTGTGCAGTATACTGAGACTGTTTTAAAATTTTTTAAAAGGGCTGGGGCTGTAGCTCACCATAGGCTGCATAGTGATACTTTGTCTCTAGAAACACGGTAAATTACATGTTCTGAAGGAAATAAACAGAGAAACAAATTATCAGAATGTAGCACTTTAGATATTGTAGTAAGGGTGGGTTCTGAAAAGGAGACCTGTGAGCTGAGACCCAGAAGATGATAATGGATTAGACATGAGGGGAATGAGGAAAGGGCCATCCAGAAAGAGGCAATGATAAGATAGACTGAGCTGGAAAACAGCAGTGTACGTTCACACAACCTTCGTGAAGTGTGTCAGTGTGGAGGAAAGTAGGGTGAGGAGGGCGAGTTGATGAGCAGCCATCGTTGGTTCTGTGCAGAGGCCTTTTAGAGTCTGAGAAACCATGGGACAGTTTTTTTCTTCCTTTTTTGAAACAGGGTCCCACGATATAGCCCAAGCTGACCTTGAACTTGTGATTTTTCCCATTTCAGTCTCCCAAGTGCTGGGATTACAAGCATTTGCCACCATGCCCAGCTTGCATGGGAGAGTTTTGAAAGAGAAGAGTGTACCAGAGGAAAAGAGAGAGTGAATGGATTGTGGGTAAAGTAGATAAAGAAGGGTTTATTAGGTGCTGTAGTGATGTCAGGAATAACCCACCAGAGAGGGAGGAATTGATGCTTGTCTTAGTCTGGTTTTTATTGCTATGATAAAATGACAAAGGGCTGGGGATTTAGCTCAGCGGCACAGCGCCTGCCTGGCAAGTGCAAGGTCGTGAGTTTGATTCCTGGTACTGGAAAAAAAAGCAAAAAAAAAAAGGATAAAATGCCAAGAACTGGGCAACTTATTAAAAAAAGTTTATTTCTCACAATTCTGGAATCAGGAAAGTCCAAGATCCAAGGGGAAATGTGGGAGTGTTCCACTACATCATAAGCTGATGGAGGGCACTCAGGGTGAGCTCACAAGCCTAGGTCTCTCTTCCTCTTTTTATAAAGCCTCTGATCCCACCATGGGGCCTCCCTCATGACTTCATCCAACGCTGTTTGCCTCCCAAAGGCCGCCTCCAAATGTCATCAGCGTGTGAGTTTAGGGTTTAAGTTCTGAACACATGAACTTGTGGGAGAACACATTGAAGCCACAGCAGTGCTGGGGGGAAGGTACCAGACTTCTGAGATCACTGGACTTAAGCACAGAATCCTCCCTTAAAATATGAAGAAAGGGGGGTTCAGAGGCAGCTGTTTGGATGTTTCTGTCTCTTGGCTTCTGTGTTCTTCAGCTGGAGGAAGAGGTTCCGTGTGGGAAGAGCAGAAAGCAGGGGATGACCCATTCCTCAAACACCATTGAGGAAGCCTGGTGTGGTGGCACAGGCCTGTAATCTCAGCACTCTGGAGGCTGAGGCAGCCTGGGCTACAAAGTGAACTCAAGGTCAGCCTGAACTTCATAGCAAGACCCTCTCTCCAAAAAAAAGAAAAGAAAAGAAAAGAAAAAAGTCACTGAGAATTGTGATGGTACTAGTATGCTTTGACAGAGTTGTGTCCTGATAAACATGTCAGTGTGCATTGCTGGTTTTTTTGTTGTTGGTTTGTGTGTGTGTGTGTGTGTGTGGTACTGGGGATGGAACCCAGGGACACTGTACCACCAAGCTACATTCCCAGCCTTTAATTTTTTTGTTTTTCTAAGTAACAAGGTCTTACAGGCTGCCCAGGCAGACCCTGAACTAGTGCCACCACAACTGGCTATATATGTTGTTCTTTGCTTAGTGTTCACTAGAGGGTTTTTTTCCTTATAAGACAGGGTCTTGTTATGCTGCCCAGTCTGGCATCTAACCAGTGATCTTCCCACCTCAGGCTCCCACGTATGAGAGACTGAAGCCCTGTGTCATTGCACATAGCTGTTATAGCTGTTGCTAACCAGTTTTTTGGGGCAGGGCAGAGGGATAAGCTGATACTGAGGATTAAACCTGGAGCCTTCTCACTGAGCTATATCCCCAACCCTTTTTAAATTTTGAGACAGGGTCTTGCTAAGTTGCTCAGGGTGAGTCTGACCTTACAGTCCTCCTGCCTCAGCTTCCTGCAGTGTTGAGATGACAGTCTTGCCCCACCGTGCTCAGCTTGTGCTAAGCATTTGAATTGAGACCTGTTAGTATGATTGTGCATCTTTCCTGGCCAGTTAAGTGACTCTTGTTTCCTTTTTTGTAAAGTGAGCAAGATAATGACATTCACCTCACAGAGTTGTTTGGGAATTAATAATTAATGTAAAGTGCTTAAAGCTGTGTCTGGCATATAGTGATTGTTAAATAAGTACTAGTATTCATTGGTGTCCGTTTCATGTACAGGTGGAATAGGAGGATGGTCTGGTTGGGGATTGCCAGAAAGAGTGACACCAGTAGTATCCTGAGAGTGTCCTCAGGGGCCTGCTTGGCAAGGTGGACTAGAAGTGGATTATGAGTAGGAATTTGATGAAGGTGAATAATTTTCTGGTAGAAATAGGAGAGCAAGCTAACTGGGTTGGTTGGAGGTGGGAGCAGGAGAATGAAGTTGAAGTGTACTGTCTTGGTGATGCCCAATCCTAGGATTGACCATGAGAGTGGGCAGCAGATGCTGTGGAAGAAGTAAAGGCATGAGTCAGGGCCAGATGTTGGACAAGTCCATTCATTCTTTCATCATTTTGTTTCTTAACACATTTTTGTTTTGTTTTATTTTTGAGGTAGGGTCTCAGTATGTAGTTTAGGCTATCCTTAAACCCACAGTGATCCTCCTGCCTCAGCCTCCTGAGTGCTGCGATTACAGGCATGCACCACCATACCTGGCTTGTTTCTGTTTTCTTGAGACAGCATCTTGCTAGATGTCTAGACTGGCCTTCAACTCCTGGGTTCCAACCATCCGCCTGCCTCAATCTCCTGAATAGTGGGGACTCGGGCACACCATCATGGCCAGTTAATGCTTTTTTGTTTTTCTTTTTGTTTGTTTGAGACAAAGTCTTGCTATGTAGTTCAGGCTTGCCTTGAATTCACTATGTATCAAGACTGGCCTTGAACTCCTGCCTCAGTCTCCTGGAGGTTGGGATTACGGGTATGTGCCACCATGCACAGCTTTTTTTTTGAGACAGGGTTTTGCTATGTAGTTCATGCTGGCCTTGAACTCACTATGTATAGCCTAGGCTGACCTTAAACTTACAGTGATCCTTCTGCCTCAGCCTCTCAAGTGCTGCAATTAATAGGTCTGCACCACCATGCCTTGCTCAGTTTAATGCATTTTTATTGAGCACATTTTGTAAAGCACACTGTTTGAGGTACTGAGAGCTAGACAGGCACAAAGTATACAAAAGTCCTTGTTCTTGTGAAGCTAATAACAAAGTGCTGGGCATGATGGTATATATCTGTTTCCCTAGCTATGTGGGAAGCTGAGGCAGGAGGATTGCAAATTTGAAGGTACCCTGGGCAATTTAGCAAGACCCTGTCTCAAAATAAAAAGATCTGGGACTGTAGCTCAGTCGTAGAGGGAGAGCAATACAGAGGGGTAGCCAGGCTAATAAGAAGTACAGGGGAGCATGTGTTTGGGGAAGTGAAAGATTTGGAAATGAGTGGGGAGTGAGGCGATACCCGCCCACCTCCTGTCCTTGAAGTGTGTACTGGTGAGAGGGCCACAGGGCTCAGCCAGGTCCTGGCAAGTCCCGAAGGCAAATAGAGCCTTCTGAGGAGAAAATGAGAAATAGGAGATTTTAGATCCTAGAGGAGGAATTTCAGAGGCCCCAGGTCAGGGTGGGGAGGGTGCTCAGAAGAGGGTGGCGTTGGGGCAGGTTGGGGTGGTACAGAGTAGTAGACATGCCTAGGTGATACGGATGACCCAGAGGATGGACCTCCTTACTTTCTAGGGTCAAAGTGGTCAGGGGTCTCGGTGGCTTCCCAAAGAAAGGTGTCTGTTGTGGTTGGCCTGGTTCTGGAGGCTCACCTCATGTCCACCTCCTAGACTGTGGCTGCAGGTGTCCAAGTTCTGTGGGAGGGCAAAAGACACTGGAAGCCCTGGTTTCTGAACAGAGACTGGCAGTGTCTCAAGTCCAGGGCCTCTGGTGCAGCTTTCCTGAAAGAGCTCAGGAGCAGAGCATGGTTAGAAGAGAGTCTGGCAGTGTGGGAGGTTGCTTGATTTTTGTGCATATATGTTGTAGAGAAAGAGAAATGTTAGTGAGGGAAAGTTGTCAGGCATGGTGGCATCCCAGCTCCTTGGGAAGCTGAGGCAAGGTTGTTAATTAGAGGCTATGTTGGGTAACTTAGTGAGGCCCTTTCTCAACATAAAATTTTTAAAAAGACAAAGGATGTATCGCAGTGGTAGTATA